CATGTACTGAAGATAAGAAACACTAGTCTTTGTTTAAACTCACAGAAAAGAAAGAACTTTTAATGAATTCTAGTTCAACTGTTTCATGAAGACTTTAATTTGTAGAATACATTGTTTCATTATGCAATTCTTTGTTCATACTAACACAAATAGAAGAATTAAATACTAGGCACAGCCCTCGACATCAAACTACAAGGAAGCCAAAATGGTGATATGTGTATAGTAATATCGCAATGTAAAATCCACCATTCTGTGCTTGAGCCCCAAATTCTGATGCAATCACAGAGGTTGCTACATTTAGATGATGACATCAGACAATTTTATAATTTGCCCATCCGCTCTCCTGCTCACCCATGTCCCGAGGCAGATTCCAGTGTTATTTCCACCAAATAACCGCCTGGGCAAAACTAATATTACTCAGAACCTCAAGGGACTTTCATGGGAAGAACCTTACAATTACTTGTAGTCCAATGTAATATATGCAGTCAGTATCCATATGCACTTTATATTAGATCACATGGAGTCTGGTAGCATCTTTTCAAATTATCACATTTCATTAAAAGGTATAAGCTTTCATGAACTACAGCTCACTTTATCAGATGCATCTTCTATTCTTTTCCTACACAATTTATATTGGATAAATTGATCAATCCCTACGCAAAGTAATATATGCAATCAAACTTGACAACCCAAACAGCAACTTTGCAATGAAATAAAATAAATGTGTGTTATATGTAATAATACATTTCTTCGACTTTCACGAATCATTAGAACCCCCGTTGTATGGAAAGAATTATTACTAAGAGTGTTTCTTAGATATGGACCAATAGCACCCATTAAGTATTACATATATTTGAGGAAAAAGGGATTTGTTTATATTCCAAGTAACACTAATGGGGTTCTCAGATGGTATACCAATTGTAGTTATTGACCAGATTGGGATCTGTTTTCTACCACCCTGCTTTTATGCTATACTTTAAGGAACCTCATCCAATATAAGAAAAATCTTTATTATATAATTATAACATTATACAATTAAGCATACTTAGAATTTTAAAGAATGGAATGCGAATTTTGGAAGCAGGAATAGTTTCCCATAAAAGCATCATGTAGCTTGTATATTAGCCATTTTTTTTTCCCCAAGAAGAATGAAAAGGTCATTCCCATGCTTTTAGTAAAGATTTTTGACATAGTTATGACATCACCCAAAACTAATCTGAAAGCTATCATTGTGCCTGGAGTTCTAAGGCCACTTCCTAATGAAGGACATGGGCTCTGCTTGAGTTTATTTTGAAAGTGGATTTGCTTATTTTTCAGCTGCAATCAAAGGAATGTTCAGAGGGCGAAATAAGCACTTGAAACTTGTAAGCCAAAAAATTGTGCATAGTCCCAGCAGCCAGCAAAAAAGCCATCTGTAAAATACATTATCTTGTGAAAGGGACCCACTGGGCCTTGTGTGTTGATTGCTGTTATTGTTTTTTTAAAAGGGAGGAAAACTACTACTTTAGTTTTAAAGTAAATACAAGTCTTAATTCATTTAAAAATCATCACAAAGATAGTCTCTATATTCTGTAAACAGATGCTAAGTAGCAACTTCGATAAAAATGTTTAAGGTGATATATATAAAGATTAGGAAGGATGTTTACCTTGATGTTACAATTGTCATCAAGAAGAATATTTTCCAGTTTTAAATCCCTGTGAACGACACCATTCTGAAAGAAGAAATAAAACATGCAGATGAATATAAAGGAGATTCTATGAGGGGGGGTTTAATAGTGTCTGGATTAAAGAAGCAAAGCATCAGGGTGGTCTCTGCATTTAAACTTCAGTCATAACACTAGTAACTAGTGACAGGAGATGCATTAGTCACTTGCTGTGTGGTTAGGAGAAGAATGACTGGAATTTGTCCTCCCACCAAGCCTGTAAAACAGCAGGGGAACTCTTTTCGGAACTTAATCCCAACCCCAATCTGCCCCTCACTATGTAAAAGTAATATATTCTTCCCAGGCATTAGAAAACAATCCTTACCAAGGTATGTCAGTACAGTACTCACAAAAGGTCCAGTAATTCTAGCAGCTAGGCCTGATGACTTATACTGTATCCCCCAAAGGCCGCTTAAACCTGAGACTGAAATCTAATAACTTCCTGAAATTCATTAATGTTAAAATTATAAAACTAAAAACTATAATCTGTATTTTTGGTGTAAACTGTCTGCCTTTCCTCTTCAGAATGCTTTGTGTATTTTATGAGGTATTTTTAAGAAGCCAAATTTGGTTTGTTATGTAAGAATCATTGAAAAATTAGGGAAATATTCCATTTCAGAATGACAGATTATCATACATTGTATATGCTATGTTCCCTACAGTGTAAATTAATTCTATTGGAACCATCTTGTAACAATATNAAACTGTCTGCCTTTCCTCTTCAGAATGCTTTGTGTATTTTATGAGGTATTTTTAAGAAGCCAAATTTGGTTTGTTATGTAAGAATCATTGAAAAATTAGGGAAATATTCCATTTCAGAATGACAGATTATCATACATTGTATATGCTATGTTCCCTACAGTGTAAATTAATTCTATTGGAACCATCTTGTAACAATATAATCAGCCTGGAAGGTTCTCTTAGTATGTCATTATTATGCAAGAACAACTTGCAGGGATTCTTTTAAACTCTGAAGATGTGGGCAGGATTTTTGACAGCATGAGCTCTCTGGGTAGACTCCAAGCTGCACTAGGGGGCTCCTTCAGAAAGCTAGATAGGGTGAATGCATTTGAATTTGACAGGGGTTGTACTTCCTGTCTTGAAGATTGTGATACACTCCTTCCAGAAGTGGACACTTCTTTGTCTAGTCATGTTGGATAAATCCTGCACAGTTTCCAACCTTCTCTTCTTGTACAGAAGCTAGAAATAATCCTGAAAAAATCCAGGTCCCTTTCAGTTGAGCTTCAGACCTAGGCATGAGATTGAAACTGAACTGGTCACTCTTATGGATGATCTCGATTAAGACTTGAATAAAAGAGTACAGTCCTATTGAATTTCTCAGCTGGGTTTGATACTATTGACTATGGTTTTCATTTGGACTTTCAGTATTAGTTGGAAGGGGGCACCATTGTGCAGGGATTTGGAGCAACTTAGTGGACATTTTCAGTCATTGGTAATGAGGAAGAGAAGTGAGCAATCAAACTCTTGTCAATCCTCTATAGATGGTAACGAAACTTGGTTCTTTCTCCAAAGTTCATAACATCTACATGAAACTACTGGGTGAAGATACAGGTAGTCCTTACTGATCACAACTGGCAACTCCATCTCTAAGTGATGCAGTCATAAAACGAAACATAACTGAATCCAATTAACATCACTTCTTGCTACAGTTGTGAAGCAAATCACCTGCAGTCCTTAAGTGTGATGTCACATGACCATAACTTGCAACTTCCTGCAGGCTTCCCCATTGACTCTGTTTATTGGAAGCTGGCTTTGGGGGGTTGCAAATGGTGATCCTGTGACCACAGGAGACCATGACTATTCTAAATGCACACTGATTGCCAAGCACCCAAACTGCGATCAAGTGACCATGGGGATGCAGCAATGGCTGCAGGTTTGAAGTTATAAATCTCCTTTTTCAGCAATCGGTAAGCAAAGACTATGCTATATTGGTCTGTTCAGGATGAGATATCATTTTATTACACAGGGAAAGCAGTGGAAACAGTGGAATGGAACAAAACAGACTAAAATTGAATGTTAAAAAGATGGAGTTGCTATTTGTCTAGAACAGGGGTCCCCAATACCTGGTCCGTGGACTGGTACCAGGCCGTGGCATGCCAGCAACTGGTCCACACAAACAAGCAAAGCCCCATCCAAGGGATGCAGACAGCACACAAAACCATGCACTCTCTGGTCCATGGAAAAACCTTTCTCCACAGAAACAGTCGCTGGTGCCCAAAAGGTTGGAGACCTCTGGTCTAGAAGCCATCGTGTTTGAGAGAGAGGCCTAAACTGAATTGAAACCTAGTTTGAGTTGCTCTGGCATAATTTCATTTCATAGTCTAAAATCCACTGGGTATGAAAGAAAGTGAACATAATGCAAAGATTATCACCACACACCTTCAGATATTTTTTACTCACCTTATGACAATAATGAACTGCTGAAACAATTTGCCGGAAGAAGTGTCTTGTCTCTCTTTCATTTAGCCTTCGTCTCTCACTGATGTAATCATACAATTCCCCTTTACTTGCATATTCCATGATGATCACTATTTTATCTTTGTTCTCAAATACTGAGATAAAACCAAACCAAACACTTTTATTTCATTATATTGATGAATTAAATACAAAATACTCATATACAGTTATAAGCAATCATAGCTAGCAAATTCCAAAGTACAGATGCACAAATTACGGTACTCAGTTTCAAGTTAAAAACAGTTCCATGCATATTCTTTCTTAATTTATCATTTTTGCAGTTTAGACACAGAATTAGGCATATTTTAAAAATTTTTAATTACTTTTAAAGTTTATATTACTTTGAAATATTTTTCACAAAATACAATTCTAAGAATATATCCTATTAAAATAGGTATTTCAAGTAAAATTTTGTCATAGAGTAGATACCTTATAAGCACCATATACCTTATAAAGAGATACATTTTTGAACCATATGGAACCAAAGGATTTAACCAAAAGATTCGGTTGAACCAAAGGATTTAAAATACTGCAAATTAATTTCAATCTGCCTATTAATCAACAAATAGTGTTAAAATGCAAATACAAATAAAAATGTAGTAACATCATTTTTCTTTAATGTTTCCCTAGGTTCTTCTAGTAACTTCATAAAAATTGCTACAACTGTATTATTTTCTCACTTTCAAAAATATAAATAGACATTTTATTTGAAGACCTGTTTTTAATTAGGAAAGAACAAGCAAAAAATGAGAGGTATATTGTGTATAGGGGGAAATGTTTAATAAATAATTTTGATCACCACAGGCAACCACTTAAGTAATTTATATGGGCTACAGAATTTCCTTCAGGAATATAATAAACTATCGATATAATATTTAATACATTTCCTTCCTTGCCTAATAAAAATTTGAATTTCTCATTTGGAGCACAAATGAAGTCTGAAACTGAAATTACACCTTTTTCTTGGTCATGCTGTCATCAACAGAGAAGAATGGATTACTATAAGCATCAACATGTAATATGAAACCTACACTGTTGGTTGATGCTTTTTTGAAAAGGAGTAAGTAGGTAAAATGTAAAATAATGTGTGCTGTGGATAAACTATAAATCACTTATACAAAAATAATTAGAGCACTTTTTCATAAAGGAAGCACAATATCCAGTGAGCTCAGCTGAACCCACATCTGGCTGTCATAGGAGGCTGCAAAATAAGAAAAACATGCTCCAGTGCTTTACACACTCTGCTTGCCTTGTCAGTCTTCAAGAACCAGGTTTTCACTATGGAATAAATGTGTATTCCTGTGTCAAGGAAAATGAGTATGCTATTAAAATTAAATGTGTGGATGTTCAGGGCCAATGAAATCTTTAACTGTGCATAGAGCTTTGGGGTTATGCACCACAGTTCCTGGCATCTTCAGGGGCAAGGTAGTCTGTATGGTGCATAATCCCAAAGCTCTATGGGGATTATACAGCACACAGACTACCTTACCTCTGAAGATGCCAGCCACAGTTGCCTGTGAAATGACAGGAAACCGATGTCTGAAGCTCAACATTGCTCAATAGATACTGTCTATAAAGGGCCACAACAATATATTGAGTAGAGCTTCACTATCACACGTAGTGATGGCCATATAAGGTTATTTTAAAAGAAATGGAAGTAGGTATAAATCTTAGGAAGGCTGTTTGCTAAATCCAGAATTAAGAGAAGCCTAGCTTGCATATCAGCTGCCACTGAGCAAGAGTGAAGAGCATCTATCATACTCCCTCCATGTTTATGGCAGAACCATCCTGTACTTACTAAGATCATATTAAAATTCTGTGGATCTTTTTTTTTAATACAAGTTTTATTAATTTTCCATTTTTACAAAGCTTCGGGTATTAAGGAAGCAACATGGTGGTTGGGTAATACATAGTCCAATAACACGCTTATCCATACATATATCAGCTTACATCATCAAAAATTTCCTCTCTGTTTCCCTTAGTTATTATACCAAATTCAAATTAATAAATTGCTAGCTATAACTCAATCATTTAAAACATTTATCAACAACTTTTAACTTATATGTCTCCAGATCCTGTCTTTGACTTTTATCTGATTTCAGTTACAATATTCTAGTTGGCTTAATGTCCATAATGTTTAAGTTTCAGATAACCTACAGTTCCCTTAGTTCATTACAAAATAATTATCATGTCTAAAATACACTTATTATTTATTCAAATAAGTTCTTAGTTTATTTCACAATCATATTCTACTTCTCATTCTAATATCGTCACTTACTCATAAAATAACCTTTGTCCTCTAAATCCATCTTCTATTTTATAATTCAAAACATTTTAGTAACTAATTTGTTTCCCTAAATCCTAAATATTAAATCAAATAATATCTTTTAAAATCTTCTTATCTCATTATGTGAAATTTGAAGCTCTTCCATTGAATGTCAGATAAGGAAAACCATTTTTTAAGTCTAACTCTGGCCTTCCTTTTGTGCCAAACCGGCTTCCATAAAAGAGCTTTTAGGTTCTCAGGTGAATCTCCCTTCATTCCTGCATATATTTGAATCAAGGGAGACCATCCAATCATCAGCCTATCAAGGACACTAGTCCCTTCACAGTCAGTAAATTGTTGGCCAAATAGTTTAAATCTCCATATTGGACTTAATATATTTGTCATGCGTTCAGGCTGGTCTTCTTCTGGTTTCAGCTGGTTTAAATGCAAAGTCATGTTTAGTATTGTAGTTGTTTTGGGGTCATCTGGATTGTCTAGATTCTCAGTATATTGTGTATGTAAGTCCTCCGCAAGTTCTGTCTTAGTATTTCTTTCTTCAGTTTCTATTGCTGTTGTAGTTGTAGAGTCTTTAAATGAGGTCAAAGTTTGTGTGTCGGAGTTCTGAGTAGATTGTAGCTGACATTCTTTAAAATCCACTTTGTTATTAATTCCTTCTTCTTGTGTTGCTTTTTGGGTTGTAGGTTCATCTATTGAAGTTAAAGCTGCTTTTGTAGCTTTAAGGTGGCACGTATATCTTTCATTCTAGAATTCATTAGCTCTGTAGATCTTGACTGGTAACAGTTTTCCAAGATTCCTAGTAGATACCAGGTCTTAGTAAAATAAAATTATCAAATGCTAATTGCTCATAAGAGAACCTGGAAAAAGTATCTCTCTGGATAGGTCCATGCAAGCTTTTTAAATAAACATTTTCATCATGTAAACATTTATACCATCAATTTCTGAGATATTGATATGTTTAAGTGATCATTTTGTAATACACTGTATTTTGTAACACTGCTAAGTGCAGTGTTTAGCTGTAATATTATTTATTACAAATAAAAATGAATTAAATATGTATTATTCCCTATTAAAACTTAAACTTCAAGCTGCATATAGTGTTAGTTATACTATAACCAATTCTGGTATAACTATTTGGAATGCTTGGCTCACTGTGTTTTTGCTCCATTTGATTTATGACCTGTCATCATAATACAGATTATTCTAAATCTGGAAGAGCTTCTATATAGGCTCTGTGCTGTTGCTACTACCAACTAATTCACAGAAATTTTTTTAAAGAGGAATGTCTGCTTGCAGATATAAGATATTGTAGAAATATGGATCAGTAACTATGATACAAAACAGATTATTTAAAATAGGCGTTGGGAATCTGTTCACCAGAAGGGTTCATTTGTTCCTTTTCTTACAGGAATTGGTCAAACAAAAACCTTTTTTATAATATTATTTGAAATGGCATTGGTCATGCTTTTTGATGATCTCTGCCGGGAGCGGGATGGGGTAGCATCTTTGCTGTATTT